CGGCCGTGGCATCCCTCTGCCCATCCAGACCTTCCTATGGAGGCAAACCAGGTGAGAGCAGCAAGCCCTGGGTGCCTGGGATACTGCTGCAACAGGGCAATGGATGTGGGGAGGGGGGGCGGGACAGCTGCTGCCCTGTGGCCGGGAGAAGGCAGTTGCTGCAGCTGCAACATGAAGGCATGGAACAAGCTGCTCTCTTTGCACTTGATATAGAGCAATCTGTGTGTATCAGGGACGGGGGAAGGACTGGAGGCAGCTTAACCTAGTGGCAGTCCCAGACATCTTGATTTGACTTCAGAACATCCATGTGTATATGTGTTTATACACCTCTCCCATCCTCCCTGTTTGCCTTCCCCCCAGCTCCCCCCAGCCCTACTCCCACCCCTAAGAGAACTTCTGGAGCTCTGGTACCAGATGCAGCATCCTTCACTGCTACACCAGACTTGCAGCTTTGCTTGTGTCTGTATTTGCAGCTGTTCTGGAAGTGTAATCTGTGCTTTGAGAGATCAGCATGCAAACAGAGACATCAAAGTCTTACCTTATTTCACTGGATTGAAGAGTAATGATGTGTGAGGAGCAGGCAGAATGTATGGCTGGGGCTTTATGTTCCTGGTGAATTCTATCTTAACAGAATTCTAAACCGAAAACATTGTGGGGACTGTGGGGGAAGGTTGGAAGATTTGAAGGTTGTGGGTCCAATTTAAGGCCTCAGCCACAAAATCCCTTTATTCCACAGTTTCAGTATGCTTCAGAGAAAAAAAAAAAAAAAGCTGTAATAAGGTGACCTGATTAATTTTTAAAATATTTAACTCTGTTCCCATTCTGGAGGGGAATGACAGTAGAGGGTAGATGTTCTCTACCTACAGGGCACAGGCCTGCATTTCATCATAAGCCTTCCACATCAGCAGCTGTGTAGGAAAATAAGTACTTAATACAAAACTGGCAAATGGATCTCTAGCTTAAAATAGAGGCAAGGCAAAGTTCAGTAATATTTAACACATTTTACACAGAAAATATTGAAAATCTTTCACTGAGGTAAAATGGCTGAAAACTGTCTGGTGGAAGATTTTATCCATGGGGAACAGGACTTTTCTGGAGGGTAGATTAACTGCCTCTTGGCATATCAGTGTGGGTACTTTTCTAGAAAAGGTAACAGCATTTTGTCACTTGTCATCAACAGGTACCTGAACATTGTTTTGGCCTTCTGTCTTCCTTTACATTTAGTTTCTCAGCCTTTTGCCAACCTTCTGACATGAGAAAAAAACTAAAAATAACTAAGCAAAATCTGCAGCTGAAATACTGGGTCTCTAACACTTTTTCTCCCTCCCTTCAGTGCATTTTTAAGACCAAAACTGGGGAAACAATATGAGGCTTCCTGTGTGGTATGTATGATTCTCTTTCTCAACTCTTTATTGCTAACTTTTCATGCAACTTGATCTGACCGTGGTGGCTGATCAGCAAGCTCCTCAGCTTACACCAGAAGTGGATTTAGTCCATTCAGCTTAATTTTGCACTTTTAAAACATGAAGGTTTTGAAACCTTTTGCCATCTAGAGAATTTGAATATCACATGCATCTCTACACACAGCAAAAGTATATTGATTTGGATATTAGTAATTTAACTAATTAGTATTTAAATAAAGTAAATAATCATATGGGCAGACTGAGCTACGACAATCTGGGTCTAAACTTGCAGTTCATCGTCGTGTGTGTATGTGCTTTCAGATGAGATTGATGTCATTTCAGTTTGTGATTACTGGAGTTTTTTCACATATAAAATATTGAAAATCTAAACATTACTAACAGTCTTTAAACAATACTTTTACCATTGTGCAAGATGAAAAAAAACCTCCTTTACTGGAATATAGAGGGAGCATGTCTTAGCTGCATAATTAAAAGAGGTTATTCTGCAGATACTAATAACTCTTATTTCTAACTGTATTTCAAATGAAACCTCAATCTACTGTCTAAAGGGAAGAGAAGGGGAAGGCATGCAGCAAGTTCAAATAAGATGGCTATCTAGGGATTTTCAGAATTCCTTGAACTGTTGCTGATCTTTGGATGACTTAAAGTACATTAAGCAGTTGCAGCCAAACTTGACAGACTGGAAAAACTTGGTCTGGACATGTATCTTAATAGTTTAAAGTACTTAGGTCTCTCTGAGCAATTTTCGGACTTCCTTCTCAGAAGATATTAAGCTGGAAAAGCCCTAGCTGCTGCTGACTGATTTTCTTCTAAGAAATCCATAAATTTTTCAGGGTTATTGCTAGATACCAAATACCGATAGGGGACTGCTGGCTTAGTGTCTTGGTGAGTAAAATGTATTGCAATTCTGGCACATGGAGCAAAAAGCATCGTCACTGGTTTATGCCACTGGCAGTTCCTGGTTGTTTGGAGGCTGGAAAATGGAGCTTGTTGCCTTATGCTCTTTACCAGGAGTCTCAGCAGTGTGCAGAGGCCATGCCTTGAAGCACCTATAAGCTGAGGCTGTGACCCTAGCTGTGAGCTAATGTCTGTTACTGTTGTTTAGAGGGACAGAGCTTCCTTCTCTCTGCATTCTCCATGATGTACCTATCTGTCTGTGACTTCCTTGTGCTTTGTGCTGTGCTGTTGGCATCAGATCTTCCTCTATGTCCCCTGAGCTGATTCCAAAACACTTTTCTTCCATAAGCACATATCAGAATTTACTAAGTGTAAAGCAAACAAAACCCTAAAGAAACAAACAAACAAACCCAACTGCAAGATGACATAAATCACACAGTTCAGCCAAGGAAAGGGGAGCTCTGCAAAAACACATTTCATGAAGATCCAAACCATTTCCACCCCTTGAATGAAGGAGAAATTGATTCTTCTCCAATTTTTAACACAATCATTAAATTATGGTAGAAAGCTTTCAAAGGTGGGGCTTAGTTTTGAGCTATTGATGGAATACAGCTTGAGCTGCTGCATCTGCCACCTTCTTTTCCTCATCAGTTTCCTGTCCCTGCCAATGCATAGGAGTGTCTGCCCACATCAATACCTTTTGTGTTATCCAGTGGGGTAGCAGAGTGCTGTGTGCATGGGTGAGACAGGGTTTCTAGAATGTGATGGATAGCTGGCTTGTCTTCAGAAACATCAAGCTGACTAACACCACTGTATTGACTAGTGTGCCTAAAAATACTGTGCACCTGTTGTATGATCTGTCCTTTTGAGATTCTCTAGCCAGAATTGTTCTAGTCATGTCTAGAGGCTGTTAACTGTCTGGCAATGCATATGACACAACACTGTGCATTATTCTGTTATTATTCTTGGCTCTAAACCCGCTGCAGTAGAATTCACTGCATATCGAGCGTTCAGGAAGCGGATGCTGGAGGCCTAGATTCAGTGAGTACAGCATCTGGTCTACAAGAGCAGATTGCATTGCTTCTTTGAGCTTTGCTTTATACTTCAATACTTGAGGAAAAATCTGGCCCTTTCATAGCCTTGTTTTCCTTACCTGAACAATCACACTGACTTCAATTGGTCTATGAATAGTAGCCTTTAATCTGAAGATAAATACCACCCCCCACATTGTCTTACACTGTCTAAGTGCTCTTGTGCCGTGTTCTTCCTTCTCCCCAGTCTGAAGTTGTTCTGCCCTGACACCATGTCATTCCTAATGTGCGTGGGTCAAAGCTGTAAATGACCTCACAGGAACATATGCGAGTGCTGTACAAAGCTAATGCAGTTTTTGGGTGATGGTAAGGGACTCAAAGTTACTTATTAAATTCTTTTACCCTGGATTGCATTGAGTGTGGAAGAATCCATACATTTTCTGGAGGATCCTGCAAATCCAAAGTTTACATATTTTCTGGTTGTTTTTTTTTTTAACTTATTTTTGCAAATTTAGTAATATGTTTTGTTGCTATGAATGATTAAAGGATAAATATGTGGAACAATGTTTAAAAAAGGCCACTTTTATTTTAAAGGAACTCAGAAAACTGAGTTTTTGAACACAGGAATTTTTTGTAAATAAAGGGCTTGGCGTCTGTGTTTCATTGTTTGTCAGTGTTTGTACTATTACTATGTTGAGTAAACAGTGGAGCATTACCACCTCTTGTGCTATGAACTCCTAGACTGATGTTTTAGATCTTTCTGGGAACTTTTCCCTACTCGGAGGACCTTGCCCAGGCTGACAGTACTGTCTGCCTGCATCTCCAGTTCCTTGCAGTCAGTCTGAAGTGACTTTAGCAATGGCCTCTGCTTTCCACCATGATACAGCCTGAGCTTTGGAAGAACAGGGCAGTAAGGTCCCCTCCAAGGACAGAAGTCTGGTTCAAGTAGCACTAATAGTTTCTCTGTGTCTCTGCCAGGGTCTTCACCCCCCAAAAAAAAGATCCTGGAGAAAACCTGCAGCTCATCTGGCACTCCTGAGAGGATAGAACAAGGGGTGCTGAGCTTCCCAAGGTCCTGCTGTTGAGCAGGGGCTAGGGGCCTGGCTGGGCTATTGCTGCTTTATGTAGTTTGCTGCAGGTACAGCCCCGCTGGGCTTGCAGCCAGGGAGGTTCATGCAACTCGAGCAAAGCTGTATAGGAAACCATGGCAAAGCCCAGCTAGAATCAGCTCTGTCCTGTACTGCTGGTCAGCTTCTTCAGACAGCTACCTGTTCCTGTTCCAGCAGCCAAGTGACACACAGGCTGGCCCTGGTCACAAGGTGTTTGATAGTCCCTTTGGTTCTTGGTGGAGAAGAAGGTAAAAAGAGAACAGCAGCAGTGGGAAGGCAGCCAGACAAGACTGACCGCCACTCCCTGTGAAAACAGATGGCATCACCAGGCTAAAAGGAAAAATGCTTTTGTAAGTGGCCCTGAGGGAGCTGAACACACACCCAGAGCACTGCTGAAAGGGACTGCCCTTCCTCCAGCCAAGGCATAACACTGACTTCCCTCACTACCACCTTGGCAGATACTCTTTATCCCTTTGGCACATGGAGTGTTGCAGGCACGGACAAGCCTCCTGTAAGTAGGTAACTGTTTTCTCAGCTACACAGCAGCCCTGAGGCTGCAGCTCCAGACATACCCATAGCATGACAATATCTCTCGTCTAACTGACTTACAGAGAGCTTACTTCAGACATTCTCATTCAGCCTTCTTAGTGAAGCATGTAACTCCTCTCAGCTGTAGCAGCAGTTGCTTAGTTCATGTGGGGTGAAAATTAAGTCTTTCATCTTAATGTCTCTATATTCTCTGTAGCAGGTCCTGAAAGCTAGGATAGAGCTGTAGCAGGCCAAAAGGGAGGCTCTGCAGGAGCAAATGCTAACCCAGGGACTTGCATCTTGAATGTCTGATATAGGCACAAGCTGCTGTGAGCTAGACCTTTATGGAGAACTCCAGGCAAATCCCATGGGAACACTTGCCCAAAGAACTGCATGTTTTTGTTGGGCTGCTTGCGACAGTTCTCCGTGAGGGGACTGATGCCAACTAGGTCCTGTGCTGACAGTATGTGTGCAGTGGCAACTGTGTGCCAGCCAGTGCCCATCGCCCACAGGGACACTCGGTGGGTTCCATTCAGTGGCCTTTGTGTTAGCATTTTTCTGGCAACAGGCAGAACAGTACTTCTGTCTCAGATGTTTGTGATCACAGATGCTGTTCCGGAAGCTAGACTTTCATTGTGGTACAGAAATATATTTAGCTTTCTGCTCAGGCCAGGAAAGAACAGAGGAATCTGGTGGCTAACCATGTCAGAAAAGCTTTACATGGCTCAGAAACCCAAAATGTTGAGGTGAATACAAGCCTAATTTGAAGACATAATTGCAGACTCTTTGGCTTCCTCTGGAGTTTGAGGTATCTGGAATGTGGGCTAGAGCAGGACTTTCTCCCTGATGCCATTGAAGTACCTGTGACTGAGACCTTGAATGGAAAGCTAGAGGGCAACAATGTGTCTTCCATCACTCCTCAGAATAGTGTTGCTGCTTATGGTGGGATTTTTTTCCTCCTCTTGCTCTAAACTGGATAGCTTTGTCACTCTACTGAAGTGTGAGCTTATGGTTTGGTTTTGCTACTGGAGATGAGAAGGTAATTTCTTTCGATAAGCCTAGGTGCTTGGCAGGCCTTCCAGTGAGCTAATTCAGCTCACTAACCTGGTGGAAACTATTTACCTTTATGCTGAGCTTCATTTTGGCTTGCGTAGAGGCTTGACTTGGCTGAATGAGCCCCAGAGCTGATGCATACGTAGAGGTGGGAGTGTGTGGCTCGAGCAACGAATAAGGAGTGGCAGCCTGTCCCCTTTTGACAAAAATACATAAAATCTCCTGGTTTTCACTGTCTCTTTCAGACTTTGTGTTATTTTTAACCATGTATTAACTCTGCACCTCTTGTCTTGCTTCTGGGGATACTTTGCTGCCTTGTTTCCCCCATTTGTTAGGTAGCCTTGTCTGGGATAGTTGTTTTAGACCTCTGTTGTCTTTATACTAATGTGCTGCTGTGCTTCAATGATTTCATAGTTCATGAATGGAGCAGAACACTCAGACCTTAAAACAAACTCCCCTGCCTGCCAAGGCTTTCCAAGCAATGGCCATCCCTTCATGTTCCCCCCATTCCTGAACTGATAAGAACGAATGGCAGGAGACGGTTTCCCTTTGTGGATGATGTTTCTGGTGTTTATTGTCAGTATTTCCTCAGGCTCAATTCATGTTGCTACAGGTTTAGTCCTCTACAAGCACACTCAGTTCTGAATACCTCCCAAATACATTTGTGTAAATCATACAATCCGTCTCCCCTTCTCTTTGTCTGTGCCTGGTGCTATGAGGGAATTTCTGTCTTAGGTTGTAAGTACAGAGAGACGTGTGTTTCTCTGCCTCCATGCTGGCCAGAGCGGAGCTGTTATGGGGACACTGTAAGACCACGATGGTGTGGCACTGCACTTACACCAGGGCATCCTGCCTCTTGATGGAGGAGGCACTATGTGGCTACAAGCTGAGAGAGCACATGTACACGCTACCACTGGTTAGCATGCCGTGCCTGGGAGTGGCTGGTCATTTAGGAGAGCTAGGTTACGACTGCTGCCCTTTTTGCTTTTCTTCTTTGTAATTAAGTCTGTTCATGTTACCTCCCCGATTTTACAGGAAAAATTGATATGACTAGTATTGAAGGATAAGCTTTGTGAGTCTGGAGTGAGGGCATTTGAAGCATCCGTTAGGTCGTGAATGCCAACAGTTACTTGTTTGCCCAGGGCCTGATAAAATTGGTGAAACAGCTTGTGAACAAAGAGGTAGCCAGGAGGTTAAGCTGGTATATGGCAAGGACGTGCGTCATCAGTAACGTATTTCTTTGCTTTAGGAACTTCAGTGAAGGAATATAACTGCTTTGGTGACCTCTAGTAAGATCTTTGTATTCCTGATCAGAGGAATAACTTACTGAAATGATTGGAGCAACTAGCAACACGGAACCTCATTAGGGATTTCAAAGTCTTATTTTGTGTTGCTTGAGGTGGAAATAATGAGCTTGTTGCAGCCATTGACTCTTTTAAGTGTTCACAAAACCATTACATCGTGGCTCGACAAAAAAAATTTGTACACTGATTATTTTTTGTGGCAAGGTGTGAAAACATTTCCTAAGGCCCATATACCTTTAATGGGTTGCCCTTTATGTTACACTAAACTGAAAGAGCATGTGTGTGTGAGAATATCCAGCTCTCAGGTCCACAAATACAGGCCTCATTAGCTGCTATGACTTCCAACAAGACTACTGGCACGCCAGATTAATGCCCAGCACAGATCTAAGTCTGGCTTGATGTTGGCATTTACTAATATACACATGATACTTCCTTTAATTCTTCTTTATTGCAGAAAATGTATTGAGTGGCTACTCAATAGTATGTCCATGTGTCTGGTGAGCTTTTGCTACAGTCTTTGTCTTTCAGGAAAAATATTCTAAGGTGTGCTTTAGTTATGTAATGAAAACTTAGAGATTACAAGTTTTTAAAAGAGAATGTTGTATGTCCTAGAAGGTATGTGCAGAAATAGATATACAGTGTCTTTTTTTCTTTGTTCTTACTTTTAGTCTTTTGAAAGAGTTTTAGTAGAGAACAAGCTGCATGGCCTTTCTCCAGCTCTCTCTGAAGCCATCCAGAGCATTTCTCGCTGGGAACTTGTCCAGGCTGCGCTCCCGCATGTGCTGCACTGCACCGCAACATTGCTGTCCAACCGAAACAAGCTAGGTCAGTGTTCCTGAGAGTTTGTTTTAACATTACTGAACTTATCAGTCAAAATATGACAGATTGATGCTCAGGGTGCCAACATATTCTAAATCCTAGAATCCCAGTTAGTTCATTCTGTGAATTGCCTTTCTTGATCTGTTCTCATTTAGAGCAGGGAAACCTGTGAGAGCTTCCCCACTGAAGTTAATGGTCTGATGAGTTGAACAGCCAAAGTAGTTCAATATTTTGCTAGTTATTTTCCAGAGGTAATACAACTAGCTTTAGCAAAAGCCTTACCACCCAGCAGGCATGAGTTCCTTGAAGGAATACACATTTCTTTCAAGGCATGGTGCAGTGCCCAGTTGCAACAGGTACTTTTAAAATCTTCAGTTCTTTTATATTTTTTTTCTTCTTTTCGTTTTTAGTCAGATTAATGCATTTCATTCTCAGCAGATGAGTCAATCGGATATTAAGGATAGGACTAGGCCCAAATATAACTTAAT